GAGTGCAATTTAGCTCAATTCCGCCCCCAATTTTGATGGAGAGCACCCCGGGGAGATGGGTCCGAGGGTCTTCCACCTCCCTCTTTCCCTACCAGCAGCCTCTCGAAAGAACTTTCGGTTCGCCGCAGATTTAGAGTGCCCCATGCCGCACGGACACTATACATTTACAAACATCCATCACCTTCTTCGGGATTCGAACCCTTGCCCTTCGGAACGGCAGTAACTATTGTACTGGTTGGGCGGCAATATATTCATGAAAATATTCAATATTATTGTTATCGACGAGAAACTCACTAAACGAATTAGAAAATGCTACCAAAATTTTGCATTTGTTTAAATGTATAAATACTTTTTATGCGCCAAATAGTATAGTGTGCGAATACTTTTTACACCTAAGATGATGGATTAGTTTTGTTTTGTAGTTGTCTGATTATGCATGAAATTTACTATCATAAATTCCATGCATTAATAATACTCATGTAAATAATAAAGTATATTTCATTATACATATATAATTACTAATTGTGGAATTTATAGTTTTTATCAAAGAGGTATTTTTAGATAATAACACTTACTGTACGTAGACTTTCTACACTCACTGATGTAAGTGTCCAAAAACAAACGTGAGCCACTGTATATGTTCTAAATAAAAAGTCTTTATTTGACATTCTTCGATGTGTAATGTTTCTTTAAAAAAAAAAAAAAAAAAAAAAAAAAACTGCTTTTGTAGAGCCTGGGGTTTAGAGATACATAGTTTAGTATTAGAAAATGCCATGAATTTTCAGATTGCATCTAAAGTTTATCTCTGTGTTCTGGTGCCCGTTTTCCAAGTGCGTATGTTTCATCTTAACTATCTAGCCATCATTATAGGATATTAACTGTTAATCTCGTCCTCGGACTGTCAAAGAACTTATCTGAAATGCGAATCGGTGAAAAGTGTAAAAGCTGAGTTGCCGTACTTTATTTAATGACATTTCATTGCCAGCTGATGGCCCTGAGATCATTCGGTTGTTACGAATAGTAGCGTTTAGAATTGAATATTACTATTTTGACTGTATTCTGAGACCTCCATTTGACAAAATGACTTAAATGTGCTACATGGTAATCTTAACATATCTAAACAAGGGTTAAACAGCAGTTAAATGGTGTATGACCGTTATATAAAATTTTAGTGCGAATGAGCCGCAAATCGGGAAGCACTGATATCAACGATTATAGACCACTTAGTGGAAGGATCGATAGTATGGTATTCAGATTGTTGGCCAGCCTATTAAACAGAGAAGCTTGAAAAGACTGGTTGCAGACATTTATTTAACTGTGAATTACACATTTAATATTGTTGATACAATAACGGGTGCTTACCCTCAAAATATGGAAAGATCTCTTGTTAAATAGCGAAACAAAAGGCAAAGAGGTACGGCTCCAGACAATCTATAGAGTCGTATCTTTCCGAATTCATATGACAGAAATCCTTAACTGAAAGATAAGCCTTTTGATGCGATACGCGGAGATATGGCAGCCACAAACTACTATATGCAAGTAGTTTAAACTTGGCGATAATCTTGGCGTCGTTTTGATAACGGGGAGTGCGAAAATGAAGTAGTACCACACAAATTATATTCTGTACACCTCAAAAAATCTCGAGTCCATTCTCAAGATTTGTGGAAATTTATTAATGTCCTTTAATTAATGGGACTCTTACACCTTAAAACCCATAAGATCTTCGAATATGTGACTTTTGCAAGAGTTGGGATAACTTATTTATTTTAAAAGCAATTACTTCCAACTTTTCACACCTGACTACATAGATATCTGCTTTCTGAAATAGTTATCGAAAGTTTGTGTTGCCACAAATATTGTTATAATTTAATCCTCTTTGTGAAAAAATTTTTCGTCATGTTTCCACCTTGCGCGCACAGTTTAAAACATTCTGTTGCATAATTCAATTCCATATTTAATATATAGCCTCTATAACATTTGGAAATTACTGTAAACCAAAAATTCTAAGAATTTCATGTTAATTTTTGGGGGGGGGCGGTGGAGTTTATAAAATGTATTTTATTAAAAAAATATGTAATATTTTCGTGCATGAAATTTTTTAATATTAAAATATTCATCAGATTTTTGGTTCAGTTAGAAAATAGTGCCCATATAAAGAATTCCATCAAATTTCAAATATGTACCATTAGCCATTTTTAAAATATCATGCGCGCATGGTGGAAACATGACGAAAAATTTTGTCACAAAGCGAATTAAATTTCAAAAAATATTTGTGGCAACATAAACTTTCTGGTTACTAGTTTCCAAAGCAGCTAGCTATATTATGTAGTCAGCTGTAAAAAGTTGGAAGTAATTGCTTTTAAAATAATATATCCCAATTCAGTCACATATTCGAAGATCATAAGGGGTTTAAGGTGTATGAGCCCCCTTAAATTCAGTTTAACTTTGTGAAGATGAATACTAAAATAATCATAGTTCTTTAGTTATATTTTTATTGATTTTATTAAGTAAATATTTTAATAATATATTTGAGCAAAGAAGACGTAAGCATGCAAATAGTTAAAGAAAAAAAATTGTTTTATTCTTTAATTTGATAATTAAGAGTACGTCAAAACACGTAAGTGTTATTTGCCTAAGGTAAGAGATGCCTTTGGGGTGGACTTTTTAAGGGAAACTGACTCATATTCATATCACATATGGGAAGAATCCGTAAGCAGCCGGTTCGTTCGCCGGGATTTAATTGTTCAGCGGTTCTACCGCTTGGCCACTGATGGGCTTTATGATCATTTAATATTATGCACATATCAGAGAAACAAAAGCTGGTATTTAGAAAAGAATTAAAAATTTACTTTTTCGTGTAATATTTTACATAATAAAGTTTTCATTCATAATGCTAAATTAGTATATGCAGAAACGTAAAATTTTGAGATTACCTGTTTATTTTAATATTTATTTTTTTAATATAATTAGAGATAATCATTCTAATCCACTCTCTCTCTCTCTCTCTCTCTTTTTCTTCAAATAAAACTTTTAACGACCAAAAGTTCTCTTACGTATCCTGATTTTAAACAAGTGTAATCGATTCTTAGTTCACAATTCTGTTTTAAATAAACTTTGCTGAATTCATCCTTTGTTATTTTCAAAATGAAAAGTATTTTGACTGCATACAAAGTAGCTACCTCACTCTTATTATTTGAGTTTTTAAAAGCATTTTATAAAGCATTCTGTTACATCTTTTAAATTATTTCATACTTTCAGTTAAACAAAGTACCTAATCTTTTTTTTTTTTTCTAAATTATTTATTAAAAATTTAGAAAAATTAGCTCTTTATTTGATTATTAATTTTCTCTGCATTTCCAAATTGTCTCCATAGTATTCTACCTTGTAAAATAATTTAATGTTAATGCCTTCTTTGAAATCTTTTTATAAGAGACTATTTTACGAACAGAAAATTGTTTAAATGTTTTTAGAGTTAGTTGAATGTCTAATAGTTTATGTACCATTTTTCACATATTATTATTATCATTTACTATTCCGCCCTAAGGCACTATACGGAAGGGAGGGATGCTTTTGTGGAGGACTTTGTAAGGGAAATTGGCTTGTAATAATACATTACAAATGGGATACCTCGAAAACGCTCATGCAGCCAACACGTTCGCGGGATTCGTACCTGGAACCGAACTACCAGTGTAAGGGACGCTCGGCCACTGGTGGGCATATTTCTCATATGAACATCAATTTCTTACCCAGAATTCCTTTTCGGGAAAAGCAAAGTCCGCCATATTTATTTTTTTATACGTGAGATTTGTTATTGAGGTATGAGAAATATGGGGGGGGGGTGGAACCGTTTGGATATATTTTTTAATTTCGCTTCTTAACAAATAGTAGATGTAGTGAAGTAAATATTTCTTTTGTTCTTGCATTTGTAATTTAAAATCGCGTTCTTATTATTCCGTGGACGCTAGTCTGAGAAATCCTGCTTTTTTAACGTTGTATTATTTCCCTTTTTATTAATTCATTTAGAAATGGTGTCATTGCAAAACTAAGTAGTATTTAAAGTAAACAACCTTCATGTTTGCTCTTGTTTCTGTTCTATCCAATTACTGCAACATGTACGGCGATTTTATCGATTTCAAGTTACTTATTTCTGAAGCCATATCCTTGAGTCTTTATTCCGACTTAGGTCATTGGTCCTTAATAAAGAAATGCCCTTTTTTTGTTTCTGTTTCATTCTTCTATCATAGGACAAAGAAAGGTTTGTCAAAAGGGGCGGAGATATCCATTTGAGGGAAGATTATTTTGTATAATATCCTGATGTTAGCGGGAAAAGTCATCAGAGGCGAATTTATGGGGTCGCGCTAAGTTGCAATCATGAGAAGCCTAGCGTTCCAAGGGGCCCCATATAATTCTAAAGAAATAGTAAATATACTTTGGACCTTAACCTGAAGGGTTCCCCACCACCACCACCGCCACGACCACTTCGAAAATTCGCCTCGATCGCCATTACGCCAGCTCTTCCAAATAGTTATGAAAAGATTCTTTCTTTGAATTGAGACAAAGGCTAGGGAGATGCAGAGTTGGTTCGCTCAGGACTAAGGCTAAACGTTCTTGTTTATGTTACACGTCTACGGAGGTGTTAATAAAGAACGGAATTAAGGTATCTATTCAAATGCCTTACCAACAGAAACAATTACAAGATCCCAAAACTTTAATACAAATCCCCGACAATCCGTGGTATGTTCCGAACAATAAAATTCAGTAATAACTGGGTGTTCCTCAACGGCGCGCTGTCTGTTAAAAGCTAACGCGCAACTTTCATAAACGTCTCAGAGAAAATGGTCATTCTATTATCCTAATTTATAATTATCAGTACTGTTCTCCAGATAATGCCAAAAGGCCAGTGGCCATATTAAACACTAGTAGTGCATCACTCGTAATCGAGGTTATGCTTCTGCAGTTTGTATTTATTATTTTGTATTTTCTATAATATTGTATCCTAGCATATCCGTCCGTATCAACATTGCCTGTAATTATCCCACTTACTCTGTGTGCTTGCATGTCAAGTGGTAAGACCATTTTGATTTTGTGAATGCCTCATGGGAACTTTACTGAAGAACTCCTTTGCTGGTGTATTAGTTTACACTGATGCAGACGCCTAGGCTATGAAAGCCTCATCCTGGGTCGAACACGTTGATGAAGAATATACCGTTTCTTAGTAGCATAAAATTAAAATACCGAAGCGGGAGTATCTCATAGCAAAGTCCATAAGGTGTTGAGAAAGAGTTCGTAAGGAAGTGAGATGCAATTCGAAGGTAGCGCCGAGTATCATCATGACAGAAATTGGAAATGATTGCAATTAAATGGAAATGTATGGCAGAAAATTTAAGAAAGAATTCAAGAATGAAGACTGAAGAACTCTTAGACTGTGATATCTCAAACTGTGTTTGAATTCTTATCTACATCCATCGCAATCTCATTCCGCCTATTTACGTCTTATGTTGCGTTCATATCCTTAATTTTGACTATTTTTTTTTTCTCCAGCTATTATATCTGAAACCGCAGTACATCAAGTCACTTAATCAGGAAGTACTGTATATACAGGGTGATTTAGAATTCATCATCAGTATTTGATGGGCAGGTAGGGAATAGGAAAAAAAAGGAGATTTCACATAGGAATGCATGGGCGCATATGCCATAGTAGGGCCAAATGATCCCACTTCAATGATGGAAAGAACACATAAGAAGGAAGTAGTAAGGGTAAAAAACATTTATTATCTTACATGTAACATTTCTTTGCATCAGTTTTACAGACTTACAAGAGGTGCTCGAACTGCTGACCATGTGCTAGAATGCATGACTCACAACGGCGTTGCATCGACAACCGGACCTTCTGGAACATGCCTGGCATTTACATGTATATCTGTAAGTTCATTCCACGTATACCGGTTCATGTTACTTCTGCAAAGTCACCTATAGTCAAATGACGACTCAAACAGTTGTGCTTATGTATGGAAGTTGTTTACACACAGCGCCCTCTACACCACAATGCGTTCGTCTGCGCCCATACTTTCCTATGCGAAATCTCCTTCTTTTCCTATTTTCTGTCTACCCTATTGATGATGAATTCTGAATCACCCTGTATTTCAGGATGCTTCTTTGATTTTATTAAAAATGAACTATCAAGACTATAAAAATTAACTAAAAAAGTATCTATTTCTTTGTTATTTGCAATTAATTCATACAAATCTACAGTTTTATTCCAATCTTGATGAAATTTAGCCCTCTTGACCTTCCAGACAAGAGAAGGGTCACTGTTTAAGTCTTCTCATATTACAAATTTATTTCGGACCACTTTATAATTGGAAATTCAAACTATTTTTGACGGAGGTCGGACCCAGAGTCCGTGCAGTCCGTTGTTTTACTCCATTCTCTCCGGAATATGAGTTTATTCGAATCCAGGAAGGGCTAAATAATTGCAGCATTGGAATGTCATTCGATTCTCTTTTTCCTTACGGTACACATTACAATAGGATATTATGAGCACTTGACTCACTTCCAGTATTTATGGTATCTTCAATGAAGTGCCATCTCTTCCATAATAGACACTACTTTTTATAATGAAAAAAAGAGTTTTTTAAGAAAATTATGAGTTACCATTCCTTAAAAAGGTATCTCTCTTATTGTATTTAACTGATAGGCTAGTAAACAAAGTAGTTAAGAAGCTTAAAACAATATGTGTAAAGATTTTTTTTTCCTCCCAATGTCGGGCTCTAATCATTATAGGCGGTTACCGATACTAAGGTTGGAAGCGGTAGTCACTTTATTAGGAAGGCACGCAGTAGGTTGACCACCTGATAGATGTTAAAGTTGGAAGAAAGAAATTGCGTACATGCTATTCAAATACCAAATGTACCATTCATAGCATATATAAATAGTAGGATACATACAGTAGGTTTATTCCATGTTTTTCCATTAAATTATTAGGAACTTAAGTAAAATTTTCCGAAAATGATTAAAATTGAATAAGAAATTAATCTCAGGTACTTAACTCTTTAGCAGAAATTAAACGCAGAAGACATGGATATGTATTAAAACTTGTTTGGTATTAACAGGAGACAAATCACTTATGACTGGATGGTTTTAATCAAAGAATCTTTCAAACAGAAAGGTGTCCCGGTTGCTCATGATCCAGGCAATTTGTGAGTACCTACTTACGGAAATCGCCATCTTGGAGAAACGATTATGAGGCCAACCACTGTGATCAAATTTAGCAGGGGAAAACGTCAACAATATTTTTCTCATTATATACAACTGCAAGCTACAAGAGGTTTATATTTAACACATTACTTATAATATTAAGAAAGACGACATATTAATATCATGAAGTTAGTGAATGAAAGCGAGTTATAAATGAAATGCTATACTGTTGCCTTTTGGTGTAGTGGTGTAGAATATCTGCTCAATAAACAGAACCTACTGAAAATGCAACTTTGAAATTTGATGAACATGTGTCAGCTTTTGATCTTACTGATCTCAATCCATTTGGAAAAATCTGACAAATATGCTTGATCAAGAGTATTAATGCGATTTTTATTTCCTCGTACGAAGTAAAGGAAGTATTGCAACCGAGAAAAATTTCGAATATCATATTTCAGCGAAAATATCAATTTCCAACATTCTCGAAACAATTTAAACAATATTTTTGTGTGACATCTGTAAGTACAGACAGAGTAAAGGACTATTCCCCCCCCCAAAAAAAAACGTATTGCAAAATGGATTAAAAATGTATTCAGAGGAGATTTTTTCGTGAGGTTTGTACGTACGTATGTATGTATCTCGCGTAACTCAAAAACGAGTGGCCTCAGAGCGTTGAAATTTTGTCTTATGAGATAACATGTAGTTGTACGACTCCTTTTTTGGTTGCAATCGGTCCCACCAAAAGTATATAAATATATACACATGTACCCACTCGGGTCGGTGAGCTCAGTTTTTTAAAATTCTTATATCTTAGTAAATTGCGCATTTTTTGCTTTAAATGATTGAATTATATTGTTCTTATGTTTGGGTTAAAGTTGGTATGCCTTTAATTAATCTGCATGCAGTAGTTGTAGAGTTGTTAATAATTTAAATGTTGCTTTAAATGCGGCTAATCCTAACTTAGCAGTCATATTTGTTTACATTTGGAACTTAGTAGAATAGTGAATGAAGTCAGTTTCTTCACCATCAGGGTCTTTTTACTGAGTAGGACTAAAAGCAGACTTTCAATTTTGTGCACTGAAAAGTCTGCCTTTTTGGCCGCTGGCCGAATTGCTTGGATTTGCATAGAAACTCTAATTTTAATCGTGTACACATCGGATTTTGTTAATTGTTTTAACTGTATTCGGTGTTATATGTTTTTCTATACTTTTCAATTCTTAATGAAAATATTTTGATGGTGTTATGTATTTTTGCCTTGCCGAGAAGTGATAACTGAATTCATTGAATGAGGAAATATATTCCTAATGAAGTTCGAGGAAATAAATTTAAATGAAGTGCAGCAAAAAATGCGTATAATTTAATAGGCCATACAAGGAAGTTATGTGTCCGCATCAGATTTTTTATCTTTATATATGGTTATATCAGATTCAAAATAAATTTGTAAGAAACAAATTATAGTCATTTTTAATTTTGATATTTTTAAACGATTTAACTGATCGTTTCATAAAATATTGAATACAAGAATAAATTAAGTTGAAAAATATCGTTTTCGGATTTAATGTTCTTCCTTGGTTATATTTTTATATTTTTTCATAAGATTTTATAGCTGAACTAAACGGAGAGAGTATTTCGCAGTGATGATTTATTTTTGCATTTTTTTCCCCTAGATGAAACCATGGAAGAAAACAGTTCTTCGCTGTCTGTGCAAGATGTTGCTCATTTACTGCAAAGCAGATATGCAATTATAACAGGTAAACATATTTTATTTTTAGAATGATCTCTGATGCCGATTTACGAAATGCATAATTTTTACCATATTTCTCCGTTTTACATAAAAAGAAAATTTTCTGTAAGCTTAAATCTAAGAACTTTATTGAAAAATGTATGGTTTGTTTCCTTTTATGCAGGAGGAAAGACTTTAGATGGATTTCCTATCATAACTTTTCCTGATTCATCTGTAGAGTTTCTCACCCTCTCTGATGAAGAATATAAAAAGTTAATGCTGTATTTAACTAGTGTTCCATCGTAAGTATGAAGAACTATCAATCATGTCTGTTACTGTGGTTTCTTTCATTGTAAATTATCATATTACTTTAATCAGTGTTCCATGATAGTTGAAAGAAAGTCATTTTGAAAAATGATAAAAAATATTAGTTTCTAAATGTTAATGAGCAGAAATTTTCTTCAAAAATAAAACGTTCAAATGAAAAAATTCTTCAAATTAAAAATAACTTTTGGAAGAAATCAAGATATTAATTTTTGTCTTTCGCTGCTGCTCTTGTTAGAAATTTTTGTATACCGCATAAAAAATATCTAATTTCTAATGCAAATAATACAAATTCATGTATTTCCTTCTTTATGCCATTTGACTTTTATTAAAGACTTGCTTTAGTATATTTGTTCTCTTAACCCTTTTTTGCTGTGAAAATTTAATATATATTATTTTGCGTCTTTGTGAAAATGTTCCTTAGGGATTTACATGCACCATGTAAATCCAGAAGAAACATGTATAGTTCTGTGACTATTTTAATATTGTAAACGAAATTCATTTTAGAATGCAAGATGCTGATAGGGGTTTTGTTCTAGTCATTGACAGACGGAATGATAAATGGAGTTCTGTCAAAACTGTCCTCCTTAAAATTGCAGTAAGTTTCCTCATCCATTTCTTTTCATTTATATAATTTTATTCTGATCAGAATTGAATAAATACCTTGTTTAATTCTTTTTAATTCAAATATCTAGTATTTTCTTCAAACAATGTATTATTGACAACCCTGCGTTTTTCAAGAAATTTGTCAAAGAAAATGTAAAGATCTGCATACAGCCTCTTGTACACTGAAGTGCCACTGAATTAGGGATAGACATGGCAATGCAAATCTTATAGTGCTGCGCAGCATCTGTGCTCACGTCAGTAAGTTGTAGTAAATGCACATACAGCTAGTACTATGGTTGTTGTTAATCACTCATTTCAATTGCCAGTATGGGTAACACTTCTGATTTAGACAGCTTCAATCTCGGACAGATAGTAGGCACTCGACTCATGGGCAGTTTAATTTCCAAAATCCTCAGCGGGCTAAGATTTTCATGGTTGACAGTGTCAAGAGTATACCGAGAATACACGGATGGTGGGGAAAAGAACTATCCATCTTGCAAATAGTCAAAATAGTCAATGAAGCCAAACATTAGCTCAAATTACCACCCAGCTGAATCAGGGTGACAGTCGTACAGTCAGTAAAAGGTTCGTGCAATGCTCGCTTCACCATATGGGCTTCAGAAGCCGTAGACCCACGAGAGCACCTTTGCTAAATACATGCCATTGAGCTTCACTTCTTGCCTGGGCAAGAGAATACAGAGAATAGACTCTAGTGGACTTAAAAGGGGTAGCAAGAATTGGTGAGTCTCGATTCTGACTAATTAATACCTATGGGAGGCTGAGAATATGGCGTCAGACTCATGAAGCCATGAACCCTGTATGGCAGATTGGAACTGTACAAGGCCATGGAGACTTAATCATAGTCTGGAATGTTTTTTCTTGGCAGTGTTTGGAATCTTTGGTACTTGTACCAACCTCTCTCAATATGATTTGGTACATAGAGTTGCTGGGTGATCATCACCATCCATTTATGTTGTCCTGTCATTCACACAGAAATGGAGTATCCCAGCAAGATAATTGAACCTCTCGCAGGTCCCGGTTGACTACTGCCCAGTACAGGTCAGTTCGATGCCAACGGATCGACGCCAGCGTTGCGACGCGTGGTCGATTCGACACGAGGTCGTTTGGACGCGGGGTCAATTCGACACCATACTTTCTTTGCTTTTGTTTGACGCCATACTTTTTGTATTTTTATTTATTTTTAGAATAAGTTTGCATCATCATTCAAATAAATTTGGTGTCATCATCATTTGATGTTTTACACCCCACTTAATGGGAATTCATAGATGGTCTCAGGCATGTTAAAAAATCAATTGATCAATATTATGAACAATTTGTATGTGGAGATGAGCCACCGCAAAAGAGGAATAGGTATCTGTGAGCTGATATGAGAATTAAAGTAATGGTTGAAGATTTTGAAAATCGAGAAATAATGGAATACCTGAAAGGTGTGGCGTGTAATTTTGCAATGGATTAGTATAATAACAGTTCTGTGATGTAACCCTATTTATCTCTAATCTTATTTATCTGTAATTATATTTGTCTGCAATATAATATAACTACTTTGTAACCATGTGTTTATTTACCATTTGTGTATTTTGCCTTTTTGATGCTGTTTGTGAAATAAATAAATAAAAAAAAAAAAAAAAACCTCCTTCATGTCCCGGGTCCTTGATGTTGGCGAGGGGGTTTCTCACTAATCTGGGACGCAAACAAAAATCTAGAACACTTTCACACATATACACACATATATTTATTTCAAAAATGCATGCAAACAATCACTAATTCAATAAATAAAAATCAGTCATATTACTTATTATTTACTTCATATTTATTCTTATAAATAAAAAAAATACAAAAAAAATATGGCGTCGAACCGCCTTTTCGGACTACTGCTGGTTGGATGACGTTCTTCTAACTTCTTGTCATAAACTGGTACTTGAAAAGCCCGACTTAAATTCTATTGAGCATCTTTCGGCGTTTTTGGAAAAAAGGTTGGAAACCTCATCACACAATACTAGCGACTATTACTAATTATAGACCTCTATCCGATGTTTGGCAAGCCATTCCCATAGAATAACTTTATTTTTATTATTTATTTAATAATTTAAGAAACTTCATTGTTTGAAAGCCATTATAAAGGCCAGAGGAGGCCCAACTCGTTATTGACTAGCTAGCCCTAATTCAGTGCCACTTCAGTGTATATGAATTGGATACATGATACTGTTCTTAAAGACAAGGATTAAATTAACACCAATTAAAGTATAGTAAACAGGTTTTCGTTTGACATAAAATTGAAGGTTCAGTGATAAAGTACCTTCATATACATGAGCAAAACTGAAACTGCAATACCTGGAAGGAACATTGTGATTTTGTGATTCTCCTTAATAGACATAAGTTTTTTTTTTTTTTTTTTTTTTTTTTTACGAAAATAAATTATTTCTTGTGGGAGAGCAACAATGAATTCATCATTATACTGCTATGAAATGGCTTCTCTTTCATTTGCAGTATATTTTGCTACCCATCATTGTATTAAAGGTGCAAATGTTATATAGTGTCTCTGGTTATTGCTCCTTATGCTTGCTCTACCCACCGAAAATATTTTGCTGTTACTTGATAGTGATTTTTGAGCATATACATAGTCTCCCAAAAAAATACGCTAATTGTACTAGTAGTGTGACCTTAAATTGAAGTTAAGCCATGTGCATTTGTTGCTATGTTAGCAGGGAGCCCTAGAGGTTTTTTTGCCTTGGGGAGGGGGGTCTCTTTTTTTTTTTTTTTTTCCTTATCGACGATGGATTTTAATGAACAATGAACCAACATCAAATTCTTGGTGAAATTTAAAAAAAGCTCTCGGGAAATTCTTGAAATCTTGAGGGCTATTTATGGAAATAACACACTAAAGCAAACAGCTCTTTAGAAGTGGATCAAGCATTTCAAGGAAGACGGTGAAGACTTCAAGGATGAGGCAAGGCCAGGACGACGGTCGACCTTCTGTGTTGAAGACAACATTGAATTTGTGTGGTCTCTTGGGCTTCCGATCATCGATTAGCTGTCATTATGATTGCTGACCAAATGAATTAAAAAAATCATGTGTGTACATGATTTTAAGAGAACATATGGAGTTGAGAAAATTGTGTGCAAAAATTGTTCTAGTGTTGCTAACACTAAAAATTGAAAAGGACGGAATGCTGCACCTACTAGAAAAACTCTCTTCAGACTTCCGGTTTCCTTGAAAGAATCATCACTTGTGATGAAACATGGTTGTACAAATACGAAGTCGAGTTGAAGGTGATGGTTCTCAAGCGTCTGAGTGATCGTTTATGTCGACTGCAACCAAATTTGTGCGGAGGTGAAGAGTGGCTGCTGCATCATTATAATGCACCTTCACATCCATCAGTGCTTGTATGCGTAATTTGATCTCAACATTAGATCACCCTCCCTACTCACTAGATTTAGCCATCTGAGATTTCTTTTCCTTTTCCGAAATGTAAAACTGTCATGTGGGGGCAATGTGAGGCCGTCTCGGACAATGTGGAGATGGTAAAACATAAAACGACATAGTATTTGAAGAGCCTGACTCCTGAAGACCTTCCAGGAATGTTTTCAACAATCTATGCAGAGATGGTACAAGTGTATGGCTACAAATGGGGTGTATTTTGAAGGTGATAAGACTAATATACTTAATTTTATAAAATGTTTTTATGACATCAGTTTGCGCATTATTGAACATATTACATAGATCATGTTCAGTGATTTTAAACTGGTGACAGATCTTGAGATCTGACAAGCCATTGTAACATCAATGTACTACTGAAAGATATTCCCATGAGATGTTTTCCAAATACAGACATTCATTTTACTACTGAAACACGGCGTTGCTCTCACCAATTGTGAAGGAGACTAGCACAGTTTCTAAAATCTCTCAAATGTATCTAGCAGCTGTTAAATTGCCATCAGTGTATGCAGTGAGTATGGATTGAATATCTTATAGCTATCCAGATAATCATGGCTTGTATTTGAGCTATGTACTTTTGACACGTTTGATTGAATTGCTTAATTTACCATGTCACTGCTGCATATATAATTTCTCATTGTTGAAACTCAGGCAGAATGGAATTCATAGTCGAAGATAACATTCTGCCATCCTAGGTATTTGGGTAAAGTATTAGTGCAAGTGCAATGAGCTGCAGTTAGTGATGAGGGGATCGCATGCTTGCTGTTGTACTGCAGAAATGCGACTGGAAATCTTTAGCATCTGGAGCTTAATTTGCAAAATTACAATTGTCAGAAATCACCTAGACAGTATAGTGGTTAGGAGAGCCTAGACAGTATAGTGGTTAGGAGAGTTAGGTGGTATACAGAAGGGCCCGGTTTCAAATCCTGGAGAAGGCATGAATGTTTGTAAATATATAGCATCGGGGCACTCTAAATATATGGCGAGCCCAAAGTCCTCAAATTTTGGTGGTATAGAGGAGAGGGATGGGAGACCTTCGAACCACAAACCTCCCTCAAAACTGGGGTGGAAGAAGAAGTCCAATATCTTTGAGGCTCTGGCAACCATTCTTCCATGAAATACATGAACAAGACAACAACAATAAAAGCCAGAGCCCTGTTTAAAGCTTTTAGGGGTAGTAAAAATAAATAATTAAGTAAAATTCAAAATGATAAATAAAATATTTGTAAATTAACATAAATTAGTTAATAATTTATGTTAATTTAGTTAGAGGTAAGTAGTAATAAATTAGTTAGAGGGAAAATAAAATAAACTAATCCTAAAAGTATAATCAAAAGAAATAAATGATTAAATTAATAATAAGGTACACTAGACTAATGCTGAAAGAAAAGTTCTGGACAGTCTTTTTCATCATCAGTTAAAAATTGCTTCTTTATTTTGGCTTTTAATTCCTTACTAACCGAACAGGTAAAATCCATAAATATTTCTCTTGCTGAACTAATATTTAAAATCTCCTCACTTGGGATGCTATCTGACTTTACTGTGAAACAAAAATGCATCTGAGTCGGGCTCCTGTAGGCTGTGGCTGAATTTAAGCCCTGCTTAGGAGCAATTAGACTTGCCAAAAGCTGGCAACCATTATATTCAGTAGTCACCTTCTTTGATACAAACTTAATTTGATGAGTGTGAGTATCTTCTATTAACTATCTCTGAAAACATTTTTAAACCAATACTATTTTTATAGAAGTGCACATATACTTGTTTCTACTTTATCACCCAGCCAGATGTAGGCCAATTATTCATCCTTTCTCAAAATCCATTAACTGCATATATTCCTTGCGAAAATGGATTTAAGGCAATTTGCATAATGTAATCAACTCCACACTAACAAAGTTGCGCTAAAAAATTGGATTTGTGAAAATTATTTATTCAATAGGCATGTATAAACTTCTGATGACCCACTTGGCCCACTTGAGAGAAAGAAATGTCTTTGATTGGTGAATTAGGTTTCCTGGAAAATCTTTAACGTTCTTCTAAATTTAATTAAGTCATTTTGGAAGCGTTCTTCCAAATTAGTTACTGATTTTAATTGTAATCTTCAGTTCTCATAAATATTTAAAGCTGTTGTCGTATAAATTTAACAATATGCTTATTTCTTCTGTCAGTACATTCATTAGAGAAAGCCATGTTTAAAAATGATAAAAATGATGTAACTAGAGCATATGTACAGAATTCTTGCTGCAGATTAAGAGAAAATTTCAAAGTATCTCTTTAAATGTATAGTCTTTTCATACGAAATCAGTATCAAAATAAGAAAGTTTTTTTTTTCTAATTTTGAATTTATTATAATTTTTCAATAATATTTATCTATGTGTAAATGCAACTACATTTCTCACCTTTCAACCATTTTTATAGGGTTTTTTTCCAGCACTTATTCAAGTAGTGTTTGTCCTAAGGCCAGAAGGTTTTCTACAGAAAGCAATATCTGGTGTCAGTAATAAATTCTTCAAGGAAGAGTTTAAATTCAAGGTATACTGTTTTATCTTCTTGAAAGCATTTGTAATTTATGATTAGTGCATTGTTTAATCTTTTTTGCCATTATCTTTATAGGTGATTGTATGTACAAATGTTGAAGAGCTCCATTGTCATATTGATATTAGCCAATTAACCAGTGATTTAGGTGGAACTATAGCATATGATCATGATGACTGGATTCAACAACGCACAGTAAGTATTCTTTAACTATCATATTTGAATTTTATCACCAGAATTATAATAAACTATGTGTTTAAGTCTTTATGATTTAGGAAATTTTAATTAATGGTAACTGACACTGAAAAACTATTTTTGAAATAAGAATGCTACAATTTATTAAATTAAAAAAGAAGCACTCACTTATTTTTTGTGTTGTGATAAATTCAATAACTTAAAACAGGAGTTTCATTCAGTTCAAATTGCTTGATTAGCTTATGTTACAGCTTGTGAAAGATTTTTGTTTTGTAAGGGAGAGTTTTAACATCTGCTTTAAAAGACTTTTTAAGGAAAGTTGCCTCTTTCATACACAAATCCTAATTTAGCATTTGTCAAAGAACTAATAAAAATTATTATATGATCAAGATACTAACAAGTCGCATGATACACATAGGCTATTTTTTTTTTCCAACCTCCGATGGGTTATAAAGAAAAGACGGATGAATATACAATAAAGATTTTATTACCAAAAGTAATGTACAATACAGTTATTTCTCTACATAAGCACCTTGACAATTGAGGCATTTGTCACATCTACAAACAAGTTTTGCAATACCCTCTTCATAAAATGTTCCCGCCAATGATTGGAGGTGAGTTGTAAAGGTTTCTTTGAGCTCCACGTCATTTTGGAAGCGCTGCCCCCCAAACCACTGCTTCAGTTCAGGAAAAAGATGAAAGACACTCAGTGCTAGGTCGGTACTATATGGTGGGTATTCGAAAATGTCCCATTGAAATTGCTGAATGAGCCATTGGGTTACACGAGCGCTGTGAGGAAGGGCATTGTCATGGATCAGAACAATTCCAGAAGTTAGCATGCCTCTTCGTTTGTTTTGAATAGCTTTCCGTAAATGTTGCAAAGTTTCACAGTAGGAATTTGCAATAATTGTTGTTCTAGGCTGCATAAACTTTACAAGCAACACACCTTTTTGGTCCCAAAAAACAATTGTCATAACCTTACAGTTGTTGAAGTTTCGTTTGAATTTTGTTGGTCTCTTTGGAGAATTTGTGTGCATCCATTGTTGTGATTGTTGTTTCGTTTTGAGCGTGTCATATTGAACACATGTGTCATCACCTATCACAATAGATTTCAAAAAATCTTCTCCATCAGTATTCTAACAGTCAAGAAATTCCAATGCTGCAGCCATTCGGTGAGTTTTGTGGTCGACAGTCAACATCTGTGCAACCCAGCAAGCGCAAACTTTTCTGTAGCGCAACTGTTCAGTAATGATAGAGTACGGGGAAGATAAGATCTTGAAACTTCTCGAAATTTCATAAATAATTAACTTATGGTGAACCTTTGATTTTCCTTAACCGCTTGGTCAACTTGTTCAACAATATCGTCTGCAGCGAGAGACTTGTGTCCTTGACCCCTTCATCATGCATATCAGTTCGGACATCTCTAAACTTTCAACACCATTCACTAACAATGTCATCACTCATAAAGCTGCCTCCATGCACTCGACTCATTATTCAATAAATTTCCACTGCACTGTTCTCTTCTGCCTGCAAGAAACAATAACAGCTTGCAATTCACACTTGGTGGGAGAATCAATAGCGACAGCCATGTTTACGTGACTGCAACCCAACAAGAAACAGCATGTTGAACTCGCCAGTGACAGAGCATGTGGAGGAGGAGATGCGCAGTCGCCTACTATGCACACCAACCACCTGCTGCATGCCTGGCCATCATAATGTGCGATCAGAGGTTGAAAAAAAAAAAAACCCTTGTATATTTAAAAATACTAAAATTTGTGTTTACTAGTTAGCTACCTGTTTTAAGGATATGCATAGAAAAATTAATTTAAAAAATTTATCTGATTTTGGGATTTTTTTCATTTTTAAGCATTATTTTCCATTGTATTAGCAAGAGTAGAGAATGCATTAAGAAATCCATATCTGTGTTAAATATCATTAAACATTTTACGCACTGTAGATGCATATTTGCTTTAGCAGACTTTAATATCTATTTTATTCATTTTGAAATCAAATGATTCTGTATTCTGTAGATTTCTTCAACGGGTTGAGACTAAAAATTTCAACTTGTGATTCACATTTTACTTGTTCTGTAATATTAAAGTATTCTTGGGAACCATTCAGCAAGTTCCAGCTCATAATCTTATTCAAAGCTTTATTGCTAAATCAAGGAAATTCATTACTATGTCTGACATAATTCAACTTTTATAACTTGTATGATGTTTGACCAAAGGTTATATATTGCATTAACTGTGGTCTGTATGAAATTCATTTTTAATGCTTTTGCCTTCACCTTCCATTTGCACAGAGCTTTAAGCAAAATTTGCACAAATTTGCAGCTAAGTATTTTAAGCACAAACTTTCAACTTTAAGCACAAATTTGCAGCTAAGTATTTGATTTTTAGTCATGAATTAAATGAAGAAAGTGAAGCATTTCATTTTATTTTCAGGCAGTTGAAAAGTTTTCAGCTAACACGAGAGAGATTTCAGTCACTTTGCAAGACATGATTAATCACTGGCAAGCAAGTGTTCTGCCCAATGATGTTCCAACTACTGCTGCACTAATTGAAGAACATTCTAAAGACTATCAGTTGTTAAAAGATGACATCCAAAATGCTATTAGGCATGGTGAGACTCTTCTTAGTTGCATCCGGCGGCCATCGTCTGAAGATGCTTCCTTAGATCTCTGTCCCGATAAATTAGTTAATGTTGCTGCTGTTGAAAGGTAAGATCTTAATGTTTCATGACATTTATCAGTGAAACATTTGAATATAAAAATTATATAACTATTTTTACTTAATAATATTCTATTTTATTTCATAATTTTATGTCGAACACACCATGTGGGTTGTTTGAACTCCTCTAAAGCTACTGAGTCACACAGGTTTGATGTAACCAAATATGGTTTTTATTTATACCATTCAATGATGTTATATGCGCCGCCCAGTCGGTATAGTCGTCGGGGAAGCTGACTGCGATGCCAAAGGGCCTGGGTTCGAATCCCGGAGAAGGCATGGCTGTAACTGTCCATCCCTTCATAGGAAAGGCGATGGTGGCCCACCTATTAGGTGCCTCCATAATAAAGAGACCACCACATCCGGCCTTGTATAGATTAATGGACTGGGTTACATATGTAATTGTTCACAATCTGCCATTGGAAAAAAAATCAGGTCGTACCTATCTGGTACTTTAATTAAAGAACAAGAGTGCATGATAAGAATCTCCAGAATAATGTTTTTGATTTCATTTTCAAATATAAAGAGAATATTCTTAACTTATCTCTTAATTCTGAAATGTAAAATTAATGTTTCATGTAAGTTTTTATAATTATTATTATTATTAGGTATTTATATGGTGCATAAGGGCTACTAAATACGGAGAATTTTCTTAATTTGTTAGATTTTATGATTTTTTTTTAAACTACTGAAAGGCTTTAAGCTGAAAATATGTAATAAGCAATAAATCAATAGATGTAAAGATAGTCTAAAATATATAGTCAATCCAATATTCTGCACTCATGCTTCAAAAGCAAAACAGTTTGCTGCCAAAACTGATATGGTGTGTCCATTCACATGGGCCAAGATCCTATCGCATTTTTATACTTTTAAATTATTTTCTGTTGTTTTATTATTTGAATATAGATATAGCAGAATACTTTTAGTAGTAAATAAATTCACATGAGTTTAGTCGTAGTTGGCATATGAAATAATAGTTTTGCTCCCTGTACGAACTATGAGAAAACTCAGAACTAGACAAATATTACTCACCTTATCTGTACATCCCTGCAAAACTCCTGCACATGCAATATGTTATTTTCCATTAAGTCTTATGTGAGTCACTGAAAAAAAAATTGAATGGTCCATTTATAACATTTCTCGTGTTAATAAACCCTCTTTCCCCCAAAAATAAAGTTTTGTGTTCTAAACATTCAGTTATTGTAATCTACATTTTGAGATATAAATGATCCATTTCCATGTACTAGATGTATTATTTAGTCCTTCCCCAGGCACTAAACATCTAAAAATGACATGCATTTGCTATGGCAATACTTGTACTCATTGATTTAGGGAAGGCGAACAACGACGAGTTATTTTGTAAATGGCAAGTAAACTCAGTGTGCCGACTATGAGTATATCTGTAGATGGCATCAAATGTGTTATAAAATTTGTAATGCAAGCGGTTAATATGGTATATGTTCATCTCGGAGAGATATACATACCTCACATCTTAATTTCACAAACTTTACCAGAGTGTTGATCAAGTCTTGGAAAATTGCACACCACTCTTCTAAAAGTGCACTTTTCAGCTCGTTAAGGGCTTGGGGAGGGATTTAATGTACTGGGGAAAAGTTGCTGCAGGAAATTTCAGCGCATTAATTCCCATCCCACACGTGCTCGTTGGGTTCAAGTCGGGTGAGTAAGATGGCCAGTCCATTCAAGTGAAGTGATATCTTCTGTTTGCAAGTATTCTGACACCATACATGCCCGATGAGGCTGAGCATTGTCATCCATTATCAAACATTCTGAGCTAACAGCATCCCTAAACAATCTAATTTGGGGTTCCAGTACCTCGTACACATATCTCCAATCGATTACAGAACCTTCTTCAAAGATATGCAGCTTAATGCGGCCATTTGTTGTGATTCCTTCCCAATCCATTAAATCACTACCGTGGGAATGAAATATTTTAACAGGCAAGCGGAGGCAAGTTGCATGTTTTTTTTCCTCTCTTCAGATCAAAGCACGTCTAGGATCACTGTTCAGACTATATCTGGAGTTATCAGTAAACAATACTCGGGCCCAGTTATCTTGGCTGCACTGAACATAATGACAGCACTAGTTTAAATGAGTCCCTCTGAAACCTGGAGTGAGTGGGATACAAACCATTGCTTTTCTCGCACACAGTCCAACCTCGTTAAGCCTTTTTTGTGCAGCAGTAGAACGGCTAATTGGAGCTTATCTGGTAGCCTGAAGGCCTAAAACCAAATCTCTTGTAGTCACTTTTTGGTTTCTTAGGGTCACATTTTTTTATATTTAGGTTTTAGGCTTGTTTGTTTTATGAGAAAGGAGAAAATGGCTTCATGTTGCATTTCACGTGTATTTTGAGAAATTAATGAGTATTATCTTATGCCATATATTTGAATGTTATTTTGAGATGTTGAAACTACAGTTGTCACTTATTATATTTGTAAATAAACTGCTTGTGTTGTAATGAGATGTTTCATTGAATAACTGATTACACTTATTTCTATTACTAATTCTTCTGATGTTCAAAGGCAAAACTATACACAATTTGTGCAATTTTTTAAAATTATTATTTGTTGTTTTTTAGTATGTTAAAATATCCGTTTTATATATTAAATCTGTATTTTAATTTGTATTATCTTCTATATAGGCTGCTAATACAACTTGATGAAACTGAGAAAAATTTTGATTCTTTCTGGGCAGCTCATGAGAAGAAACTTCGACAGTGTTTGGAACTTAGAGATTTTGAGCAAGATTTTAGAGATGTAAATTTTCCCCCTGTTGCTGTTTTATGATAGCTTAAATTCAGAAATGACTAGAGTTTTGAATCTCATTTCTCTTTGATTACTTAATGAAGATATACCTTAAAACAACTTAATAGCATATAGTATTGTTTTAATGTATAACTTCATTACATTATCTTTATTTTAAGGTATAACTATATGAGATATAATATCTATACACTGTATAATATATAATACAGAGTGTGTAGTGCAAGGATGTCAAATTCGTGGGCCGCATGCGGCCCACAACAAATATTATACCAATATATCGGCAATATACCCGGCCAATATATCGGCAAATAATAATATATAATAATAAAATATCATAGCGATGAAGAAAAAAATGAAATGTTTACTGCTAAATAATTAACGATAATTTATTCAGTGTTGTTAGATTACTCACAGCGAGTTGACACACACACTACTTAAATTACAAATGCGTGTGAGTAGCTTGCGTTCAGCTACCTTCGGCTTTTGGGGGACACGTGCACTCAGAACTTATATGCATTCCCCGATAGCCGAATGTGGCCAAACTCATGGTCTCAGTTTTCCAATCATAGTTTTTTACGATATATTGGTGCATGCATGTGCATGCACTTTGCTTTATTATTAATTATTACTTAATTCATATTGTTACGGATTTCATAGTTATTTTTAGTTAGTTTTTTTTTATTTAGAATTGTAATTAGATTTGCTTCATGTTCCTTAGCAACGCAGACGATTTTTGAAAAGACAGCTGCGTTGGAAGGTTAAAAAGAACAGTGTGTGCATTTAATACCTAATAAATAAATATCTCGTAATTGCTGTTGCCATCCACAAAAATCCAGATATTTATAGATGTTTCCAGTATATTCGAGAAATTAATTATAAAGCTTATAAAAGCCAAGAACAAACAACTCATCTCAGTAGTAGCTGTAGTTCTAGCGAACTGTTTGTTTACTTAATGCTGTGATTGATTTGTAGCGATTTCGCTGTGAGATAGAATTAGTTTCTCTGTTTTGAATTGATTTTTGCTAAACGTCTGACATTTTGTGATATTGTTAGAATATTTTTGAAGAAATATTTCAGCATTTTAATTTATCTCTTGTGGAAAGAATAAATTTTTGTTAACTTTTTAACGTTAACCGTGTTTATTCCAGCCCTTTGTATTCAGTATGTCTATATCAAAACCATGTGGTAGTAAAATTAAACGAAAAATCACTGACGAACATAGAATATTCCAAGTAAAGTGGGAATTAGAATTTTTTTTGCTGTGAAATAAAGATAAATAATCTGCTTGATATGTAATAATATTATTAATTACCAAAGTTATATAATATTAAACGTCATTATGAACAACACAAATCAAAATATAACAATTACGAAGGATTAATGAGAGAAGAAAAGTTGAAAGAGCTCAAGTTAGGAGTGAAAAAGCAACAGTCCATGTTTAGTAAAGTATTGATAGAAAGTGAAGCGGCGGTACATGCAAGCTACGTCTTGCCCGAGTTGATAGCTAAACATTCGAAGCCTTTTCTGACGGTGATTTCATCAAGGAATGCCTAATGAAAGCTGGAGAAATTGTTTGTCCTGGAAATGTGAAGGCTTTTCAATCAATTTCATTGTCTCGAAATACAATTGCGGAAAGAGTTACTGATTTAGCCGCGAATTTAAGTGATCAGATCAAAGCAAAATCATCTCGTTTCGAAAGTTTCTCCATTGCCTGTTGACGAGAGCACGGACATTAGTGGCAAAGCTCAATAGCAGTGTTTCTTCGTTCTTGTGACAAGAATTTTAACATTTTTGAGGAATTACTGGAACTAATACCGATGCCTGGTACTACCACAGGAGAAGATATATTTACTTGTGTTTTTGGACTTCTGCAGAAATACAATCTACCTTTGGCAAAATTAAATTCTGTAGCTACAGATGGCGCTCCATCAATGACTGGGAAAAACAAGGGCTTCGTAGCATTACTAAGAAAAAAACTTAGTGAAATTCACGGTTCAAACATTCGTCATATGCATTGTATTATACATCAAGAAGTTCTATGCATGAAAGTAATAAATATGGAGAATGTTTTGTCACATATAAAAAAGTTATAAATTTTATAAGATCTCGAGGTTTAAATCAGCGTCAATTCACTGCTTTCTTAAGTGAATTAGATAGTGAATATTCGGGTTTGTCCTACTATACCGATGTACGTTGGTTATCTTGCTCCAAGATTCTCAAACAATTCTGGGATTTGAAAGAAGAAATATGTCAGTTTTTAAAAACGAAAAATCAAGACGTAAGTTTGTTTTACGATCCAATATGGATACAAGATTTATCTTTCTTGGTTGATATAACCAAACGCTTAACCAATTTAAATTTATCGTTACAAGGAAAAGATCATATCATTACGAACATGTTTGACATAATTAAAGTATTCAAATGTCAACTAGTTCTTTGGGAAAAACAACTTAAAAATGAAGATTTGATGCACTTCCGGACGTGCAGCATGAACAAATCAAGTTTAGATGATACTTGTTCGCATCAAAAATACGCAGAAAAAATTGCAAATTTAACAACTGAATTTGAAACGAGCTTTAATGATTTTAGTTCCCTCGAAGACAAATTCTTTTTGTTTTCTTTGATTTTCTCAATAAGTATTGACTCAGTACCCAGCCATGTGCAAATGGAGGTGATCAAGATTCAATGCAACTCAAATTTGAAAGCAAAATTCATTGAAGTGGGTGTGCCTGAATTTTACGAATATTTACTAGCCAGGTTTGAAAATACTCGAAAATTCGCATATGAAATTATTTCCATGTTTGGTAGAACTTATCGGTGCAAGCAGTTATTTTCATTCATGAAAGGTAATAAGTCTCCTTTTAGAAACCGTATTAATGATGCTCACCGTGGGTCAGCGTTGAAAGTTATCACTGCAAACAAAATTTCTCCCGAAATAGGAAAGATAATAGCAGAGAAGAGATTTCAAGTATCAGGACGTAAACATTAAATTTTTCTTGTTCTTTTCTCTCTCTTTCTCTCTCTCTCTCTATATATATATGTTTATTATTGTATTATTCGAAATAAATCTACGTTTCTATGAATATTGATTTTTTTTTTTTTTTTTTTTTTTTTTTTCCGGCCCGCCTAAAGTTAAACCTTGTTTGTTTGGCCCAAGTGTACCTATGAGTTTGACATCCCTGGTGTAATGTAATATATAATACAGTGTACAGTATATATCTAAACTGTATAATATATGATATCATATAGTTTTCATGTGAGTGAGTAGAATAATTGTCAAATTAATTATATAAAATTCATTAAACTACTAATTCTAAATTATGTAAGATATTATAATCTCTTCTATATGTTTACTATTAGAATTTGTAATTTATCAGTAGAAAAAGAATCAGATTCTAATAAAATAAAATGAATGAAGTGAAATACTAAAATGTATGTACCAAACATTTTAATAGAAACCCTATTTACTAACAACAGTTGTTTTACTAACAACAGTAGTGATCTACTTAAAATTATTAACAAAGAAAATATTTATTATTTCCAAAGGATTAGTAATTCCAAAAATCTATAATCGTAAAATGTGTCTTAGATCCAAAGAAAATAAATACATGTGCCAAGAAATGCTGCCTGCATTTACTTATATAGAGAGAAGTTTATCCTTTTATATATATAAGGATAAACTTCTTTCTCTCTTACCCTTGAAACATCTTGCACATAGCTTCCCATATCATTTATCAAAATATTTTAATGTGAAACAATTTTAGCAACTGCCACTTTTCTTTGTTTCTAAGAGAAACTTCTAAGATCTAACCTACTTTATTTTACTTTTGTTTAGGGAATGTAAATGTGTTTTCTATTTTAGCAATAATAAATTCTCTGAATCCTCCTCAAAAAGGAGGTAATAAGCCCCCCCCCCCCCCCCCCCCAAAAGGGTAATTTATCTTTCTAAAAACAAACTTTAAGAAAAATAATTTGAGAATGCCTGATAACTGTCTATTGTACTTGAGCTGTTCTAGTTCATTATTCTCTGTGGAATTTACAAAAACTTTTCAAGTCTAATTTTTAAGCTATATTTAACAATTCAACCCTTGATAATAATCCCATTAAACTATTTTGGCAGTTAAAAATATATAAATATATTCTAAAGCATTGTTTAAGAAAACTATGTTTTATTTATTTTTGTTCATCAATGGAAAAGTTTTGAATTTCAATTTTTTATTTCTAAACGTTTTCATATTCTAAATAGGTACAAATTGTTCTTTCTACATGCCTTGACAAACTGTTCGATATACCAATATCTGGTGATTCCCTGGTGCAAGTGCAAGGTATTTTAAAAGATGTTGAAGATTTTCAACAGAGTACTGAAGTAAATATATTTAGAATTTTCTTTTATTGCATCATATTTTTATATGCGTGTATCTATGTGTGTCTATGTGGTTTTCTTTTTATCAATTAAAGCAATCATTTTACTGATATTTATTTTATGTTTTTCATTTTAACATTAAATATATTTTGCATTTTGGAAGCTGTTTTGTTATTTACACATTGTCAATTTCTATATAAACTAAAAAAAAAGAGGAATCATTTGTATAGTGAAATGGTCTTTGCATGATAATAGGTATTATAATGCTTTTCAAGTTTTTCTTTTTAATGGTGCACTAGTACCCATGTAGTAAAAAAAAAAAAAAAAAAACAAATGAATACTTTTGTTAACTCAGATTCAAGACCGAGCAAATGAGCTGGCCTGCATGGAAGTTTTTATGCTTTCCCTCATTTAAAACATCTTTCACAAAGACAACCCTTTCCTTAAGTTGTAGTGGCCCAGTTATTGCATGAGAAATAATTATTTTTTAATTCATATATTTGTTCATGTGTTTAATTATTTTATAAAATTAACTTTAATATTTGGTTAATATCATATATATTTCTTTTTATGCTGAATGGCAATAATAGTTCATATTTATATTTAAATTTCTTCATGCTGAATGGCAACTAGTTCTAGTTCTGATTCATGATTGCTAGGTTTTGGTTTCAAACGTTGCTCGTAGCGTCGCATTTCGATAGCTGGAAAATAAAATGCAATAACTTAGCTATTGTTTATAATTCATGCTGTTCCTAGTCATAAATTAATTTTAAACATTAGTAGCCAAGGCACATCGTGGTGACCCTGATTATTTTCGAAATGTCAACAAATGACTCTTCTGAAACTGCTATGAAAGATACGATGCAGTCACCGGAGCTTCATAAGGTGAGTGTAAAAATACCTCCTTTTTGGACTGATAACCAGAAATATGGTTTTTTTCAGTTGAAGCTCAGTTCAAATTAGTAATATTGTTTCAGAAGAAACGAAATTTAATTATTAGTTTCGCAGCTTGAACCTAAGTTCATCGAAAATATTTGGGACATTGTAACGAACGATAGGTGCCCAAAAATATTCAGATGCTAAAATTAGGTTATTACATTATTCAAAGAAAGTGAAAATGTACGGATTAAACGTTTGATTACTGGTATCGAACTTGGAGACATGAACCAAGCCAACTTTTGCAGAAGTTGAGATCAGTTGCTACTACAGGTGTTCTGAAAATCTAATCAAAACTTTATGGCTGGAGAAGCTACCTGAATGAAAAATATATTATTAGTTAGTGATGAAGATGTAACCAAGTTAGCGTCTATGGCAGATAAAATTAGTGATATGAATCGGGAAATCCAGAAGTATTTAGTGCTAATGCTCCTTCCGTTCCCGCAAATGATTTGTTGTAAAGAATTACCTCTCTTGAACAAAAAATTGATCAAATAATCATTCGCTCAAGATGCAGGGACTCGGATTTACGTAATTCACGTTCACGATTTTGAAGCCGATCTCGTAAACAATATGACCCTACTGGCAAATTTTGTTTCTATCACTTTTGATTTGGAGCAAAATATATTCCAGAAAAATCCCGGCCTCCATGTGCTTGGGTAAACAACAATTCCTAAAACCAGGAAAACACGAATCTGCAGTAGGTTCAGCGGCAACGCTGCTGCAGAAAATATGAAGGATTGCCGCAAATTTCGTTTATTCGTTCGTGACCGAAGATCAAATTTGCACTTTCTTATTGATAGCGGAGCTGACGTAAGCATAATTCCTGCTACTTCACAGAATAAATGTAAAACTGAATACAAACTGTATGCAGCTAATGGCACAGATATTTCCACTTATGGCATAAAAACGCTAACTCTTGATTTGGGATTACGTCGTGATTTCAGTTTCCATCATAATTGCTGATGTCACAAAAGGTATTTTAGGAGCTGACTTTCTTCACAAATATAAATTACTCTTGTCGATTGTAAATAAGAAAAAATTAATTGATGGCGTAACACAGCTTTGTGTCCAGTGTGATGTCGCTGCTATTTCCAGTGATTACTAGTAACCACATTAAATAAATCCATAAAAATTTTCGATTTACTGTCGAAATATCCCGAAATTTCTAAACCTAACCTTTTTCCTACACAAATTAAACATGGTGTTACACATTTTATTACGACTGATGGTCAACCCGTTTTCAAAGGCAGACAGCTCGATCCAAAACGCTTAGCTATAGCTAAAGAGGAATTTAAATTTATGCTTGACAATGGAATAATTCGTCCATCAAACTCCCAGTGGTCAAGCCCCTTGCACCTTGTTACGAAAAAGGATGGTTCATATCGTCCTTGCGGAGACTACCAACGATGAATGCGCAGACGATACCTGATCGATACCCAATTCCTGCATTGAAGATTTTCATCATATTTTAAGAGGTACAAAATTTTTTTCTAAAATTGATTTATTCAAAGCTTATTTTCAAATTCCCATTGCGGAAGAAGACAAATATAAAACGGCTATCATCACTCCTTCCGGTTTATACGAATTTAATGTAATGAGTTTCGGTTTAAAAAATGCTCCTGCAACGTTCCAAAGATTTATTCATGAAGTCTTTAGAGGATTAGAATTTGTTTTTCCCTATTTAGACGATATACTCATTGCATCCAGTACCCATGAAGAACACGAAAATCACCTTAAATTAGTTTTCAAAAAATTACACACATTTGAGTTAAGAATTAATGTAAATCAAAATCTGTATTTGCTGTTCCACAAATTGAGTTTCTAGGCTACCTAATTACACCTAAGGGTTCCCGTCCTTTGCCAGAAAGAGTTCAAGCTATTACTAACTACAAACGACCAGAAACAATTCACGAACTTAGAACTTTTCTTGGAATACTTAACTTTTATCGTCGTTATATAAAGGATGCAGCGAAGAATCAAGCATTGTTACATGCGTATCTCAAGGGAGCTAAAAAGAGGGGACAAACGTAAAATCGAATGGACTGAAGAAGCTGAAAAACAGTTTGAAAACGTGCAAGAATGACCTGGTGAACACGGCACTGTTGTCTTTTCCCAATTCTGAACTACCTCTGGCGTTATTTACAGATGCTTCAGATACGGCGATTGGCTCAGTGTTGCAACAATATGAAAACTCTTCGTGGAAGCCAATGCATTTTTTTCTAAAAAATTAAGTGATACTCAGCAAAAATATAGCACCTATGATAGAGAACTATTAAGCATATATCTTTCAGTTTAGACACTTTAAGCATTATCTAGAAGGAAGAGTATTTACAATTTATACAGATCACAAGCCCCTTAATATTCGCCTTTCGTCAAAAACTTGACAAAGCAGCACACCTAGACATGCTCGCCAACTTCAATACATCTCCCAGGTTTCGACTGATATCAAATATGTTAAAAGGTGAGAATAATATTGTGGCGGATACGTTATCTAGAGTTAATGAAATTTCATCGATAGATTATGATAAAATAGCTGATGAACAAACTCAAGATGAAGAACTGAAGAGTTTGCAAACACTACTACTTCCTTGAATTTCAAAGCAATGTTCTCTACCTTCGGGGGAAATATTTGTGGTGTGATACATCAACTAAACATATTCGGCCACCGTATATTCCTCAGGCTTTCAGAAAACACGTCTTTCAGCGAACGAATCATGGTTTATCACATCCAGGAAATAAAATCGACTATGAAATTAATGACATCAAAATTCATTTGGCCTAACATAAAAAAAGATGTACAGTTGTGGACAAGAACCTGCATTCCTTGCCAAAAAGCTAAAATCAGTCGGCATACCCAAACAAATTAGGTGAGTTTGAAGTATCACCAGGAAGATTTTCTGTCATCCATATTGATCTCATAGGACCACTTCCACCATCTAAAGGGAATATTTATTGTCTTACTTGCATAGATAGATTTTCGAATTGGATGGAAGCAATTCCTTTAGAAAATATTTCAGCTGAGAACGTCGCAAGAGCCTTTTATAGCAACTGGATTGCGCCTTTCGGAACGCCAAGTAAACTCATTAGTGATCGTGGATCCCAATTTAAAAGTGATACATTACGAGCTTTGTCCAAAATCTGTGGCATCAATTTACAACACACTACTGCCTACCACCCCTCGTGTAATGGCAAAGTTGAGCGCCTTCATCGAACATTAAAAAAAAACAGCATTAAAAGCCCACAACAACATATCTTGGACGGACACGTTACCAAACAGTACTTTTGGGTTTGTAAACGTATACTGCTATTCAAGAAGATACAAATCATTCTATTGCGCAAGTAGTTTATGGCCAGAGTCTCAGACTTCCTGGAGAGTTTTTCAGCGAACCAAGTATCCAGACAGCATCGGAGACTTTTGCTAATAAACTCCAGAAACAGATGGAAGTTGTTGGACCGAGACTAATTCGTAAAAATTCATCTGAACAGATATTTGTACATAAAGACTTAAAAACTTGTTCTCATGTGTTTCAGCGAATAGATCGGGTAAAAAAAACCTCTGGAACCTCCTTATGAAGGACCATTTCCTGTTATTGATCGCAAGGACAAATATTTTACTATTAGCATAAAAGGAAAACATGTTAATGTATCCCTGGATCGCCTTGAAACCAGCATATATTTTAGCTGAGGAAAATTCTCAGTGATACAACCTGACTACACTAATTTGCAGAGACCGGACTCAAATTCGGATGTGAATCAAAAACATTCTCGCACAGGCAGAACTATACGTTTACCTGTTAGATTCAAGGACTCTAAATTATTTTGATAGTGGTTAACACTGCAATACTAGTTACTACCTATTTCTCCATCTTCGTAACGTAACTTAGTTACTGGTGGGGGAGTAGTGTAGTGGCCCCGTTATTGCATGAGAAATAATTATTTTTTATTTCATATATTTGTTTCATGTGTTTAATTATTTTAAAATTAACTTTAATATTTTGTTAATATTTATATTAGCATGTTTATTCATATTATATTTAAATTTCTTTATGCTGAATGGCAACTAGTTCTAGTTCTGATTCATGATTTTGGTTTCAAAACGTTGCTCGTAGCATC